GGCGGAACATGTGGGCGTGTAAATAGGTTTGCGTGGCCTTGTGGTCTAGTGGTATGATTCTCGCTTAGGGTGCGAGAGGTCCCGGATTCGATCTCCGGCAAGGCCCTGTTGTTGGAGCTGGTCTTTTTCGACACTTATGTAGCTCATTGCTTGCGACCGCTAGGCGTCGATTAGCGGCTGGATTGATAGATATCGACAGGCTCATCACTTGCGGCATATGCTGCAGCCATAAACACCGAATCAGAAAGAGACGGAACAATGAAGAGAAGGCTTTGACGCGTAGGAACACCATGACGGACCGAAAAGGAGTGACGAGTGTGGATATACCGCTTTATTGGAAAGTAAAGCAAGGGAGGAGGGTTGTGACGCATGTGTGAAGTGTGTAGAGTGCATGCTGGCGGCGGAACATGTGGGCGTGTAAATAGGTTTGCGTGGCCTTGTGGTCTAGTGGTATGATTCTCGCTTAGGGTGCGAGAGGTCCCGGATTCGATCTCCGGCAAGGCCCTGTTGTTGGAGCTGGTCTTTTTCGACACTTATGTAGCTCATTGCTTGCGACCGCTAGGCGTCGATTAGCGGCTGGATTGATAGATATCGACAGGCTCATCACTTGCGGCATATGCTGCAGCCATAAACACCGAATCAGAAAGAGACGGAACAATGAAGAGAAGGCTTTGACGCGTAGGAACACCATGACGGACCGAAAAGGAGTGACGAGTGTGGATATACCGCTTTATTGGAAAGTAAAGCAAGGGAGGAGGGTTGTGACGCATGTGTGAAGTGTGTAGAGTGCATGCTGGCGGCGGAACATGTGGGCGTGTAAATAGGTTTGCGTGGCCTTGTGGTCTAGTGGTATGATTCTCGCTTAGGGTGCGAGAGGTCCCGGATTCGATCTCCGGCAAGGCCCTGTTGTTGGAGCTGGTCTTTTTCGACACTTATGTAGCTCATTGCTTGCGACCGCTAGGCGTCCATTAGCGGCTGGATTGATAGATATCGACAGGCTCATCACTTGCGGCATATGCTGCAGCCATAAACACCGAATCAGAAAGAGACGGAACAATGAAGAGAAGGCTTTGACGCGTAGGAACACCATGACGGACCGAAAAGGAGTGACGAGTGTGGATATACCGCTTTATTGGAAAGTAAAGCAAGGGAGGAGGGTTGTGACGCATGTGTGAAGTGTGTAGAGTGCATGCTGGCGGCGGAACATGTGGGCGTGTAAATAGGTTTGCGTGGCCTTGTGGTCTAGTGGTATGATTCTCGCTTAGGGTGCGAGAGGTCCCGGATTCGATCTCCGGCAAGGCCCTGTTGTTGGAGCTGGTCTTTTTCGACACTTATGTAGCTCATTGCTTGCGACCGCTAGGCGTCGATTAACGGCTGGATTGATAGATATCGACAGGCTCATCACTTGCGGCATATGCTGCAGCCATAAACACCGAATCAGAAAGAGACGGAACAATGAAGAGAAGGCTTTGACGCGTAGGAACACCATGACGGACCGAAAAGGAGTGACGAGTGTGGATATACCGCTTTATTGGAAAGTAAAGCAAGGGAGGAGGGTTGTGACGCATGTGTGAAGTGTGTAGAGTGCATGCTGGCGGCGGAACATGTGGGCGTGTAAATAGGTTTGCGTGGCCTTGTGGTCTAGTGGTATGATTCTCGCTTAGGGTGCGAGAGGTCCCGGATTCGATCTCCGGCAAGGCCCTGTTGTTGGAGCTGGTCTTTTTCGACACTTATGTAGCTCATTGCTTGCGACCGCTAGGCGTCGATTAACGGCTGGATTGATAGATATCGACAGGCTCATCACTTGCGGCATATGCTGCAGCCATAAACACCGAATCAGAAAGAGACGGAACAATGAAGAGAAGGCTTTGACGCGTAGGAACACCATGACGGACCGAAAAGGAGTGACGAGTGTGGATATACCGCTTTATTGGAAAGTAAAGCAAGGGAGGAGGGTTGTGACGCATGTGTGAAGTGTGTAGAGTGCATGCTGGCGGCGGAACATGTGGGCGTGTAAATAGGTTTGCGTGGCCTTGTGGTCTAGTGGTATGATTCTCGCTTAGGGTGCGAGAGGTCCCGGATTCGATCTCCGGCAAGGCCCTGTTGTTGGAGCTGGTCTTTTTCGACACTTATGTAGCTCATTGCTTGCGACCGGTCGGCTTCGATTAGCGGCTGGATGATAGTCGACAGGCTCATCACTTGCGGCATATGCTGCAGCCATAAACACCGAATCAGAAAGAGACGGAACAATGAAGAGAAGGCTTTGACGCGTAGGAACACCATGACGGACCGAAAAGGAGTGACGAGTGTGGATATACCGCTTTATTGGAAAGTAAAGCAAGGGAGGAGGGTTGTGACGCATGTGTGAAGTGTGTAGAGTGCATGCTGGCGGCGGAACATGTGGGCGTGTAAATAGGTTTGCGTGGCCTTGTGGTCTAGTGGTATGATTCTCGCTTAGGGTGCGAGAGGTCCCGGATTCGATCTCCGGCAAGGCCCTGTTGTTGGAGCTGGTCTTTTTCGACACTTATGTAGCTCATTGCTTGCGACCGGTCGGCTTCGATTAGCGGCTGGATGATAGTCGACAGGCTCATCACTTGCGGCATATGCTGCAGCCATAAACACCGAATCAGAAAGAGACGGAACAATGAAGAGAAGGCTTTGACGCGTAGGAACACCATGACGGACCGAAAAGGAGTGACGAGTGTGGATATACCGCTTTATTGGAAAGTAAAGCAAGGGAGGAGGGTTGTGACGCATGTGTGAAGTGTGTAGAGTGCATGCTGGCGGCGGAACATGTGGGCGTGTAAATAGGTTTGCGTGGCCTTGTGGTCTAGTGGTATGATTCTCGCTTAGGGTGCGAGAGGTCCCGGATTCGATCTCCGGCAAGGCCCTGTTGTTGGAGCTGGTCTTTTTCGACACTTATGTAGCTCATTGCTTGCGACCGCTAGGCGTCGATTAGCGGCTGGATTGATAGATATCGACAGGCTCATCACTTGCGGCATATGCTGCAGCCATAAACACCGAATCAGAAAGAGACGGAACAATGAAGAGAAGGCTTTGACGCGTAGGAACACCATGACGGACCGAAAAGGAGTGACGAGTGTGGATATACCGCTTTATTGGAAAGTAAAGCAAGGGAGGAGGGTTGTGACGCATGTGTGAAGTGTGTAGAGTGCATGCTGGCGGCGGAACATGTGGGCGTGTAAATAGGTTTGCGTGGCCTTGTGGTCTAGTGGTATGATTCTCGCTTAGGGTGCGAGAGGTCCCGGATTCGATCTCCGGCAAGGCCCTGTTGTTGGAGCTGGTCTTTTTCGACACTTATGTAGCTCATTGCTTGCGACCGCTAGGCGTCCATTAGCGGCTGGATTGATAGATATCGACAGGCTCATCACTTGCGGCATATGCTGCAGCCATAAACACCGAATCAGAAAGAGACGGAACAATGAAGAGAAGGCTTTGACGCGTAGGAACACCATGACGGACCGAAAAGGAGTGACGAGTGTGGATATACCGCTTTATTGGAAAGTAAAGCAAGGGAGGAGGGTTGTGACGCATGTGTGAAGTGTGTAGAGTGCATGCTGGCGGCGGAACATGTGGGCGTGTAAATAGGTTTGCGTGGCCTTGTGGTCTAGTGGTATGATTCTCGCTTAGGGTGCGAGAGGTCCCGGATTCGATCTCCGGCAAGGCCCTGTTGTTGGAGCTGGTCTTTTTCGACACTTATGTAGCTCATTGCTTGCGACCGCTAGGCGTCCATTAACGGCTGGATTGATAGATATCGACAGGCTCATCACTTGCGGCATATGCTGCAGCCATAAACACCGAATCAGAAAGAGACGGAACAATGAAGAGAAGGCTTTGACGCGTAGGAACACCATGACGGACCGAAAAGGAGTGACGAGTGTGGATATACCGCTTTATTGGAAAGTAAAGCAAGGGAGGAGGGTTGTGACGCATGTGTGAAGTGTGTAGAGTGCATGCTGGCGGCGGAACATGTGGGCGTGTAAATAGGTTTGCGTGGCCTTGTGGTCTAGTGGTATGATTCTCGCTTAGGGTGCGAGAGGTCCCGGATTCGATCTCCGGCAAGGCCCTGTTGTTGGAGCTGGTCTTTTTCGACACTTATGTAGCTCATTGCTTGCGACCGCTAGGCGTCCATTAGCGGCTGGATTGATAGATATCGACAGGCTCATCACTTGCGGCATATGCTGCAGCCATAAACACCGAATCAGAAAGAGACGGAACAATGAAGAGAAGGCTTTGACGCGTAGGACCACCATGACGGACCGAAAAGGAGTGACGAGTGTGGATATACCGCTTTATTGGAAGGTAAAGCAAGGGAGGAGGGTCGTGACGCATATGTGAAGTGCGTAGAGTGCATGCTGTCGGCGGAACATGTGGGCGTGTAAAGTTAGAGGTTTGCGTCAAGTGGTATGATTATTGCTTATCTCTAGGTGCTAAAGATGTTATCACTTCTGAAGCGAGGTGTAAGAGAATTCAAATTGCTTCAAAGCTATTTTGAAGCGAAACTATTCCCAGGGTCTAAAACACTTGTTTCCTTTTCTTCTTTCGATCTGTGCTTATTCAAGCACATGATCCACCCGACGGCCTTGTAAAGCAAGCTATTTTAACTATATGTATATGCATTCCTATTTCAGCATTGGTGATGTCGGCATCCAGCAGAGCTAGCAGGTATATTATAATCCACGCCAGATTCGGCACTTACAGTAATTTTAATGGTGCCATTGCGTAACGTGTGTGTCATTTTCGCCCAACTTGGACACACTGTGGAAAGCACCTTTCTTGTTTGTATCAGTCTCAACTCGTAATTTCCAGTGCAAGTACGATCATTAACTGTCCATCAGTACGCTAAAATGTGCATTTGTACCTATATCGAACCCTCGTACCACATCACAGGTACAATTCCTTTTACTCTTGGAATTAGTAAGGTGTTTTAAGAATTACTATATCAATCATCGATTCCATCCATACATAGCCAAGTAAGCATGAGCATGCTAAATCGTTTATCAAGTGTCGTTCAGACGGCTGTGTCTGGTGCAGCGTCTGCTGCTGTCTCAGGGGCGCAGAATCTTCATAGTATGATGAGTGAAGAGTATCTTAAGCATTACGAGACACCAAAGGATTGCACGGCGTCTGGGGGCCATGAACTTTCATGGAAGATCTTTCCTGCTGTCCATCGCAAGACAAATAACGAGTATAGTGTGTTTCTATTTGACAAGGAAGAGCTGAAACGGCTTAAAAGTAAAGAAGCACAGGAACGTGTATTGGAAATTCTTCGTCAAGAAATGAAGACGCTTCGAGTGTTGCGACATCCACACGTACTTAAGGTCGAGGAAGTTTATGAAGAAAGTCGCCGCTCCCTGTGCTTTGTCACGGAACGTATTACGTGCTCATTGGCCAATGCGTGCAAGAATTTCACCAACATTGTTAATGTCACGCCTGAGGTGCTGGAAATTGGTCTCACGGAGTTTGAACTTGCCTGTGGCCTCATGCACGTTGGAGAGGCGCTCAGTTTCTTGCATCGTGAGGGACGTCGTGTACATCTTAGTCTAGGACCACACAGTATCTTTATCACGCCCAAGGGGGAGTGGAAACTTGGTGGGATGGGGTTCTGCCGTGTTGTCGAGCCTGGTCAGACCTCCCGCAGTGAATACTACAGCTTTGATGCCTCAACAGGAGTAAGAAATTCAATTACAGGTGCTATTGAAGGAAGCTGGGAACCTCCACTTGAGTACTGTGCTCCTGAACTCGTGACGGAACCGCGAATGTTTGGCAACAAGGCCGACATGTTCTCGCTCGGTCTGCTAGTGTACGAATTATTTGTACCAGCTCGCGCAGATGGCGGACGTAACCCTGTGATTGACGTGCATGATGGCAACAAGATGACCCATGGCTACAAGGTACAGTCTCTCCATCCGATCTCGTTCCCGCCATCAGTACCGACTGCATTGCAGAACACGATTCGCTCGTTGCTTTCAATAGAGCCACCGAAGCGACCAGAGGCCCGTGCATTTTTAGCATCACCGTTTTTCGATTCGGGTCCTATTAAGATGCTGCGTACGCTGCAAGGTTTAGTGGAGCTGGAGCCAGCGGCACAGGCAAAGTTCTTGACGACGCTGGCTGATGCTATTGATGGCTTTTCTCCGCGTGTACTTCGTGACATGGTCATCCCAGGGCTTCAGTCCGTCGTAATTAACAAGGCTGTGGCTCCGTTCGTAATCACGCCATTGCTTAAGATTGTGGCCAAGGTGGACAAGCAAACATTTTCGCACTCTATCGCTCCTATGATGGTTCCGCTGCTGGCGATTACGGATCCGGTACAATGCATGTTAATGTTCGTATCGGAGTTGGAGACGCTCATCCCAAAGGCAGAGGATGGCTACATACGCGACCACATTGTGCCAATGCTCTGCCGCGCACTTGATAGCACAGTGCCTGACATTCTGGACACGGTGCTGAACAAAATTGTGGACCAGGCTAGTTTGTTCGAATACCGCATCTTGAAGCAGGTGATTTTGCCGCGTGTGAACAAGCTCATTCTGACTCCACCGCAGCCATCTGTGCGAATAAATGCATTGGTCTGGCTGGCCAAGTCTTTCCACGTGTTTGACAAAGACCTGTTGATTGAGAGCGTACTGCCTACTCTCCAGAAGACGCTTCAAGAAGACAAGACACCTGCTGCGTGTATGTGCATTCTTGGGTGCTACGACAACCTCGGTAAACATTTAGGTCCCGAGTTTGCTGCAAAACTTATTATTCCTGCGGTGGCCCCGTTGTTGTGGGAGCAAACTTTGAACAACTCGCAGTTTGATATGGTGTGCGAGAAGATTCAAGACATGCTTAAGGCTGTGATTAGTGAGCGTGACAAATCGTTCACATCTCAAAACTCTGTCAGTACAGTAAGAACTAGCATCACTGCTGCTTCGGGTATGTCAAACGCAGTTCGTGCCGCAGAGGCTTCAAAGGAACGGGAGTCAGGTGCTGCTGCAGCTAATAAGCTGCTATCTCAGGAGTACATTCCAAAGAAAAAAGTGCCTGAGCCTGAAGCCGGTCAGAATCAGAGGCCCGAACGATACGTGGACGATCCGTTTTATTTGGGCAAGTCAAGCTCATCTTCCGGCAGCAAGACTGAGACCACCCGTGACTCAGGTGGCCACCGCGAGTCAGCAGCGGAGCGTGCGGAATCATTCTCTGCACGCCGGCGGGCAGGCAAGAAAGGTAGCGCACGGTCCAACCGCCGGGCGGGCAAAAAGGATGATGGAAACACTGATTTGCTTGGCATGGAATCGAGTACTACAAGGGTGCGTACAAGGCTACTTGTCTTGCAAATGTGTATAGTAGCTGATGCTGTTATCGTTTGTGAACGCAGCCGTCTGGTACGTCCAACGACCTCCTTGACACAGGAGATCTGCTTACTGCTTTGCCTGCTGCAAGTGTTCCTGCCTCGAGCTCAAATAGCGGTGCGGGCGGCGTGTCTAATAGCATGAGTTTGGGCATGAGCGGGGGTATTCAGTCAGGGACATTAACATACACGAATCAGAATACCATGGGAATACAGGCTAACGCAGTGGGTCAGCAGCAGAGCTTGGTGCCCTACGGCCAAAATATGGGCAACGGAATGATGACCCAGCAGCAGCAGCAGTACAATCCGGGCATGATGCAGATGACCCCTTACGGAGTGCAGCAAGCATCGGGCTATGGCCAAAATAACGTGGGGCTTACCGGTCCTGGGCACATGCTGCAGATCCAAGCGTCAGGTTACGATCAGTTTGCATCGCAGCAACAGCAAAGTGGGGATAAGTTTAGCGCCTTTGACGGGTTGTAGTCAACATTTTTTCTTGCTCAAGCTAGAGGACCAGGTAACTTAATGCAAGGAACAGGTACTCATTTAAAAGAACATACTAGTACATGTGAATGAACTTCTTAGTGATAAGCTTATCATTTGTCGAACGTTAGAACCAATGTTCTTGTTGTAGGAAGCAAGCAACATCGATACAAAAGTGCCCCCCATCAAAACGACAATTAAATTCCTCAACGTTTCCAGTGTTATTAGAAACAAGTGACGCAATGTAATAAGCGTCTGCTACTGTTTTCAAAGTTGTGACCCAAGAAATAAAGCAAAGTAGCCACCCACTTAAAGAGCGTGGCCGTACTTGGCAAGCGTAGGCTTGAGCTCCGAGTTGTCGGCGAATACCTTGGCCTCAGTCTCGGCAAGACGCTTCTGCTGGGCAACTTTCTTCTTGTAGAAAGCGTCAGACTTGAGTACACGCTTGGCCTCGAGACGCTTGACCAGCTCACCGTGACGCCAGCCAACTTCCGAGGCGAGAGCGCCAAGGACAGTATAGCGACGATTGGCCTTCAAGCGCAGCACACGCAGGGCAGCGGGGATAACCATACGCTTCTGCTTATCGTACGGCGACGGAATGCCATCGAACACCTGTGCAGGAACATAGCCACACCTCATTAAATCAAGTGCTTAAGATTCTATGCTGAATGGCTTCGTCGTACCTTAAGGCGTTGCAGGGCAGCGGCACCACGGGCCGTCTTGTGCGGCAGCATACCACGAATTGTACGCCACAGCATACGCGATGGTGCACGGTAGTGGACAGGTCCCTTCTTGGGGTTAGTCGCCGTTCGCTTGTTCAAAAACTGAAGAAATTTGAGTTTGTTGCGCACGTCTGTTGTAAAATGGAAGCAAGAGCAGACCACATGAGTAATCTGTCTTAAAACCATACAGCTAGACGGCATGACACACCGCTGCTCTACTACAACAACATCCAGAGATGTCGTGCAGCGTCGCAGGGTGTCTGCACGCAGCGACTTTTGCATGTTTGAGGAGGTTTGCAATGATTGCATCCGTCTTTTTTTCTCATCTGTATCGACACTCACTTGTCGTTCCATCTTAACATCGATTGGCTTGCACTACACTCTTGTAACTCTCACGCTCCACATCTTCATGCTTTACCTTTCAGTAAAAATCCAACGTAGAACGTGAAAGAGCGCAGCAACCAAAGAACAAGCCACAAGCTCATTATGTCAATGCAGACGGTAGACCAAACGTCAAATTACAGTCGATATGCAGCTCTCCTTGCCACATTCAAAGAATCTCTACGTAGCAAGACACTCTACTTCACTGTACGACATGACAGATCCATCACATCTATAGTCTATACACTAGATCTGTCTCTCTCTCTCTCTCTACTAGAAATAATATCAAAGTAATCATTGCAATATACGTACGCGAGCCCGAGATCTCCAGCTGTTCACAACGCACTGCCACAACGTGCTGTCCCATTAAAAGTTCCTTGGCAATCAAAGACGCAAGACGGCCTACCAAGTGACCACGGCAGTCAACAACAATCGGCTTTTCAAACACCATTTTTTATACTCGGGACAATTCACCGACGAAGAATGAGGAAATGGTCCATTACATGGGGCGAAGAGCTCCAAAGTCTTCCGCTACCAATCGCTGTCTCTGACCAATCACTGCTCTTTAAGGCGATTTTTAACGAATGACAATACATCTCATTCTTAATGTGCGCCACATGGAATACTAACCTGCAAGGTATACACTGTATACTTGGATCATGACGGAAGATCAGCGGCATCCGATACGATTCTTCAGCGTAAGTTTACGGCAATATGAACTCAAATGCATTGACTAATTGTACAAAAATAAAATTACGTGTATTGTATTGTGTTTCTAGTGGAGCAATGAGGACGCCACAGTCGTGACTGATCCAGAAAGTGTGGCAATGGCGACAGCATTCAAGAAAAAGTCGTTTGAGAAGTGGAATGAAGTAAAGAAACTTCGAGAAGATTCGGCGTTGAATGATTTGATACTGGAGAACAAGTGGAAGCTCAATTTATTGGATGGGTCGCATAATCTCGGACGTTTTATTGGTTCGGACATGGAGACGTCGACGGTATTTCGACAACGATCGCATAAGTCATGGCGTAAACAACACCAATTATTAGTGAATGAAGCTGCTGGAATTGACCACAGGAAAGATGCTAGTAAAGAGAAGGAAGACGGCTTCGAAGCTAGTCTTGCAGAAAAATTGCTAGAGAGAGGCTACGGATTGCCACGCTCCAGCCAGAATAAAGCAGACGCAGCGTGTTTAAGTCTTTCCAGTGAGAGTATGATGAGTTCAGAGATGAGCGAGAGGTTATTGCTGGAACCTCACACCGCTTTCAGGGACCGACTGGTGAAGTTTTACACCAAGTATAATCCCACGAAGCTAAATGGAATCGATCGGACGCTGGAGGCCTATAGTGGCCGTGAAGAAGAGCTATTTCAGAAGTTGCACGAACGTTATGTAGTCAACGCTAAATTGAGTTTGCGAGAACGCAAGAAGAAGTTCATCACGAAGGACACCGACCCCACTGTTTACATGAATATCTCGATCGCTGGGGCGCCAGTTGGCAGGATTGTCATGCGTCTATTGAAGGACGAGGTACCGCTTGCTTCGGAAAACTTTCGCAGCCTTTGTACAGGGGAGAAAGTATGATTTTAGTGTTTCACGCTCATTCCATTGATGGTAGCTGACATGTCTATCTGATTTCATGTAGGGCGGGATCCTTAGTTTAAAGGGCTGCAAATTTCACCGCATCATCAAGAATTTTGTGGTCCAAGGTGGAGGTAATTGAGCTGTGGAAATGGTTGTCCGATGGCATTTTGAAACTCAGTGCTGATCTTTGTGCTGCGATTGCGCGCAGATTTCACCACTGGAGATGGAACGGGTGGCCAAAGTATTTACCGTGGCACTCCACACGGGGATCTCTGGGGAAATTTCAAGGACGAAAAGTTTTTACCTCACGATGAAGTTGGTCTACTGTCCATGGCCAATGCAGGCAAGAATACAAATGGCTCACAGGTACAAAGTCTCATTGTCTGTCGTACAATCGTGTCTAGTGTCTAGCTCATGTATCGCGTTGTGTTACTTCCTCTCTCTGATTTTTGTGTTTTGCTATGTGCAGTTCTTCATTACAACTAGAGCGGGCCTTACGAATTTAGATGGAAAGCATGTGGTCTTTGGTGAGGTCATTGATGGGCTAGATGTCGTAGATGCTATGCAGAATGTGAAGGTGGACCATGGAAATAGCCGCCCTCTTTTAGAGAATGAAGTTGCGATTCTTGATTGCGGAGAACTATAAATCACGGAATCAGAATGCACATACATGCAAAGGGCTACAATTGTATGGGTTTTGTGGGCTTTGTTATCGTCACTGTGGTCGTGTTTGCTGTCGTTGTGTAGACGGCGTCTACTATCTATGAATCTACGTATTCTACCAATTAGCCTTATCAAAGTGTTTGGCCAAACAATCTCGTACCATGAGCCTCTTGTCTCACTCTTTGATTCGATCTCTTTTGGACCACTCGATCTCTCAAAATGTTGAGCAAAAGAATAATACGCTCGAATGTCTCCTCATCTACTCGTAGAACGCTATTGCATCGTGCTTTTGCTACTGCTGGAGATGATGTATCGAAAGCCATTGATGGTGTACCCATGAACCGATACAGTGCCATCGTTACGCAACCAAAAGCACGTGGTGCCTCGCAAGCGATGTTGTATGCTACTGGTATGACTGAGGAAGATATGGACAAGCCTCAAGTAGGTATTGCTTCTATGTGGTGGGAAGGTAATCCATGCAATATGCACTTACTGGATCTAGCCAGTGAAGTGAAGAAAGGAGTAAATGCTGCAGGTCTTGTAGGTCTTCGGTTCAATACTATCGGTGTAAGTGATGGTATCAGTATGGGCACAGACGGTATGAGCTACAGTCTGCAGTCACGTGATTTAATTGCTGACTCAATTGAGACAGTCATGGGTGGTCAATGGTATGATGGTAATATTTGCATCCCTGGTTGTGACAAGAACATGCCCGGGTGTGTGATTGCCATGGCTCGTGTAAATCGACCATCGCTGATGGTCTACGGTGGTACTATTCGTGCTGGTTGCAGCTCCAAGGGTGAGACGCTGGATGTTGTATCGGCCTTTCAGGCGTACGGGGAATACATTGCCGGACGGATCACAGAGGAAGAACGACATGACATTATTCGTCATGCTTGTCCTGGTGCTGGTGCTTGTGGTGGCATGTACACGGCCAATACAATGGCAACGGCTATTGAGACGCTAGGTCTGAGTCTGCCATTCTCATCCAGTTTCCCTGCTGATTCGATTGAAAAGAAGAACGAGTGCCTCAGTGCCGGTGAGGCGATGAAAGTGTTGCTTGAGAAGAACATCAAGCCGCTTGATATTCTAAGTCGTGAGGCTTTTGAAAATGCCATTACAGTGACCATGGCCTTGGGTGGGTCTACCAACGCCGTGCTGCATTTGATCGCAATCGCGCGTGCTGCAAACATTCCGCTTGATATTAACGAGTTTGAAAAGATCAGTGAGCGTGTACCTTTCCTAGCTGATCTTAAACCTAGCGGCAAGTATGTGATGGAGGATATTCACCGCGTTGGTGGCACTCCCGCCGTTCTTAAGTATCTGATGAACCAGGGCTTCATAAACGGTGACTGTCTCACTGTGACGGGCAAGACGCTGGGCGAAAATCTCGCGGATGTGGCTGACCTATCGGATAACCACGAAATTATCCACCCAGTGGATCGCCCGCTCAAGTCCAGTGGCCATTTGCGTATTCTGCGCGGTGATCTGGCTCCAGAGGGCTCGGTGGCGAAGATTACCGGCAAGGAGGGTCTTGTCTTTACGGGCACGGCGAAGGTGTATGACTGTGAGGAAGACATGATGGTTGGCTTGGAGAACAATGAGATCACGAAGGGAAGCGTCGTTATTATCCGATACGAAGGCCCAAAGGGCGGCCCTGGCATGCCTGAAATGCGTACGTCTTTCTATTGGATGTCGATATCTCGAGTTGTCTTGATCTAACGTGCTTGACTTTGTTTACCATTCTTAGTTGCGCCTACTTCTGCGATTATGGGAGCTGGTCTGGGCAAGGATGTCGCCATGCTCACTGACGGCCGCTTCTCAGGTGGCTCGCACGGTTTCATCATTGGTCACATCACCCCTGAGGCTCAGGTTGGTGGCCCGCTTGCACTCGTGAAGAACGGTGACAAGATCATGGTTGACGCTGAGAAGAATCGCATTGATTTTATTGACGTGTCTGCGGACGAGTTGGCGCAGCGCAAGAAAGAGTGGGTAGCTCCTCCGCTCAAGGCCACTCGTGGTACGCTGTACAAGTTCATAAAGAACGTGAAGTCTGCTTCGGAAGGCTGCGTCACAGACGAGTAATTGCCTCAATGGCAGCTCAGCACGGTCAGATCGATAAAAAAGCTGGACGATCGCCGTATTAGACGTCTGTGCTTGCGTGTGGGAGATTATCGGTCAAACGCAAAGAATATACGCTAGAAGATCCACAACAATCAAACTTTGTCATGCAACTTTGCATTTTGGCTCACGTGAATACGCATAGGGTATGTATGTACGAGGCTCTTGGAGGAATAATCATCTTGATGGAAGGACCTCAATCAAATTCACTTTGCATTTCGTCAAGCGTGATCGAGTCATCGAGTCAAAGGTCGAAAAAAATAAAGCTACTAGTTGTTGCTGTTGCTGCAAGATTCTACGACGTGAGCTACAAGTTTGAGAATCAGCAGCACCAGTGCGAGGCAAACCTTGGAAATTTACTTGCGTCAATATACTTTTGCAAACCATCCGATCACGCTTGACTAGTATTTTCATTGACGTACTTGACTGCCTTCTACACGGCTAGCGCTGAAGGAATTCTAGCAGAGTGGCGTTTACTTGGTTGGACTGGTTCAGTGTCTGCTGAAGACCTCGAATGGCCTCGTTCGACTGATCCATTGACTCTTAATGCTATCAAGGAATCGAGCCATCTCTCTCTGGGTGGTATGAATGACTTCCAATTTCTCTGCAATGCCACAAACAGCATCGGCATTTGATGACACGACTGATTGCTGGTTTTGTTGAATAGTAGCGACTTCCAGAGTATTTTTCCTTCTTCTTTTTGAAGCCGTATTCGGAAGCACAGGCGATGAAATCTCTCTGGTCATGGAAACTTGAGTTTGAGAGCCTTCCTGGACAGGAGCTACATCGATCGGGGTTGACTGAGCTGGGACTGGCTGAACAAGGGGCATGTTCACAACCACAGGATTTGGCTGGATCAACGGAACAGGATCTGACTGAACTGGCACATCGTTGTTGACCTCACTCGGCATGCTCGGTATTTGACTGTCATTTGATATCGGCCGTGTGTCATCTCTATCAACACTGGCATGGCGTTGGGGCTCTTCATTAACAAAGTGTTCGAGTAGCAACTCCCAATATCGTGGGTACACCACGACCTTTTCAGAGTCTTTTGTTGCGTCAATCTTTTCACCACGCACACGGAAAAATTGGTCCTGCAAGTATCGAAACTTGGCTCGTAGTTGCGTCACCGTGGCGTTCACATTATGCTTTGCATTGAAATCTTGCGGACAATCTCCCATAACTCTCGACGTTGCGTCTGTTCTTCTGCCTCGATAAATTGCTTTCCACGTTGACAATTCGTTCCTTCAGTAGTGACTCAATAAGGATATCTGTCCACACCAATCTACCCGAGTGTTGATTGTCTTTGGTTGCAACGATGTCTTTTTCTCCGTCCCTTGACATCGTACAAATTGTCGTAATGGAATCGGAGCATCTTGACTGGGCAGCATATTACTCCTGGCTACAGCTTTTTCTTTGCGTACCAAGTCTCTGGCTCGATAGACAAGTCGAATTTGCTTGTCCAACACAACTCCGTGTTGTGCCTGCACCGTCGTCACGAGGGACTCGATCGAAGTGGTAAAATTAGCCTGAACTGCTGCCATAAAGGCCGGTAACTCGGCAATTTGCCGTGAAGTGAGTCGTTGACTTGAATTACAATGCTCGGAATGGATTAATCTCATTGACGCAATGTACCATTTCCCGTTTGTCTTTGTATCCGACAAACACTGTCGATAAATCTGTACGAAAAAATCACATGGCGTTTCGGACGAGCAAATTACGCGTCGATCGGAACCACTTGCACGCTCTACACGGACCGACTTTTGATTCACTAGCGCATAATCTTGCACGGCAAAGACACCCTCCGTTCCCGTATCAAAAGCTAGACCGATCTCGAGTGGAGCAGAGACAAGATCCATTTTTACCATGACGAGAGAATCGTAATACCCTTTGGCCACTCACGATGCTTTTTTTCAGGTCTATAGAACCATTAGTTTACCACTCAAATACATACAAAACATATCGAGTTACTTACTTGACATTCATCGCTATCTTCATGACCACAACAAATCATGTATATCGGGTCTTCGACGGTATCTCAAAGAAACTCAAAATGGCTTGCTAGCCTTAAGCTAAAATGCCAAAATAATCCCTACCATGGGAACTCGTGATGGCCAAAAAGGTTGCAGTCCACTACGGTGGACACAGAGGAAAGAAAAGCTGCCTGGAAATAAACGCCCATGATGCACGATATCAGTACGTAGTAGACGATGCAGTCAAGGTACCTCGGATTTGCGTCGATAGTTCTCGTGCGTGCAGACCATAGATTTCGCCCTTCATCAGTCAGCAGCTCTGTAGACTTTACACCGTGTCTTGACGAGGCTGTCAGGATAATGTGAGCCATTAACGAAAAAAGCTCCTCATCGTAGCTGTTGCAATTACTGCAAGCTCATGACCGGATGCTAAACAACTGACTTCGCCAAGTTCTCGTGATGATACGTTACATCGTTCCAATGATTCTGCTTGACGCATGTTACGACTTGCTGTCGTAGCCGATCTTTCGCGCATTTGCTCGTACGTTCAAACAGCAGCAGCACCATTTTCACTCCCCATTCTCCCATAAAGCTCAAAAGCGCGCTGACAGCCTACAACTCAACATCTAAATATCACAGTCGTCCTCACTCTAAGAAATATTGTAGCCGAAGTGTGGCCACTTTGCGTTGTTTATTATCACAAGCCATGTTCATACCTTAGTCGCCTAATCCTATAACATAGCACAGGAGCGTGAGAATAACGACAATTGTTGTGAGTTTGTATAACAAGGACGTACCACTAGTTCAGAAAAGCGTTCAGCAACGATCAAATCAAAATCATCGAGTTCCTTGGGTACCGCGAGATTTGCCCACACCTTCTTTAAAGCCTCCACCTCGTCATCTTCGTCACCTCCTTCTACATCTTCATCATCCGGGTTCCCCTGGTTAAAGCGCACAGGCTTTTGCCGAGAACTTCGGCGTTGGCTTTGATCGCTCCTGTTTAATCCATCAGAATCAGCGCGTGTTCGACAGCGCTTTGAGCTCCTCTCAGAAGCAATCGCTGCTTGGGCAGACGAGCGCTTAGTCGCACGGGTGGAATGATCTCTCACTGCAGTATCGCTTCTTACGCGGCTTCGCGAGTTGCGTCGCAACACTGGAGCCGCTTTAGTGCGATGTGGTACGTCAATTAACGTTTCTCCCGTGAGGTCGTGATAAACCTTCTTCATCTGTGCGGTCGGACGCCTTTTCACAATCATTTCGATCGATGCTTCCATGAGCGGCAGCTTGCAAAAAGTGAGTAAACGTTTCTGTTGGCGATCTCGTTGGCGGGACATCTCTAACAGCATCCTTCCACGCTCGAGGGAGCGACGAAGGTCTTGCAGTTGGCCCAGTATTTCTTGGGTCATCCAACATTGGCGAGTTGCATCAAATGCTGCACTATGTGGAGGGTGAGCCTCACAGTAGAATTTCCACTCGGTGCGATTTGATCGAGCGCAACATAACTTCTTCTGTGCCGCACAAATTGGATGAAATCGACGGTAACACTGAGCACAATTCGCAAGTACGCCCTCTTTCATATCGCAAAACTCGCATCGCGATGCCATGCCATCAGACTTCAGAGTAAGAGCGTAGGCACAGAGCATGTGATGTCTCTTGACCGTTTTAGCTTTCTGCCACTTGCCACAGTAAACGTGAATCCATCTATTCGAAGAAAGATGGGATATTCCATTACTCCCTTTTCCCTGTAACTGCGGCGGGTGCTTGCTGCTGTCAGAATTTATATGTCCCTGCTGTTGTCGCCGCATATTCTGGTGTGCTTGTAACCAAAGTTGCTGGCCGCCACTCGGGGCTGGGCGAGTCGCCGGGAGTGCTGATTTTGAGTCCAAATAAGCTTGACCGTTCAGCTGATTCGTGAAGATAGGAGGATCGATGCAAGGCATCATGTAATCGGTTGCCTTAGCACAAACAACACACGCCGGCGCTTCTTTGCCTCCTGTTTGCGTACACCGTTCACATATCCAGTTACTTTTAAATATCGTAGCGGATGATCCAATATCCGAAATGCAGCACTCAGGATGAATGTAGACATTGCAGTACTGGCAACGTATCATAAATTGCCTTCGATGTAGCATATTCACGTCCACAAGATCCCCGACGATTGGCGAACAATACTCGAAGCACGCCGAGCAGACCGTCATATCGGTCCAATCCGTCATATTAGGGTCATTCACAGTAGAAGTAATCTTGTTCTCTACCGAAAGCACGGCTTGAACAATCGATCCAGACAACAAAGAAGACTCATCATCGGAATGTCTCTTCGCGTCATTGCTGTAATTTTCCTTGTTTCGCATGACGAAAAATGAATCGATCCGAAACCGAGCTCGCCGACGGCGCTGGGCTAACTGATCCAATACAGTATAACTGTCAGGTAAATGGCTCGAGCAGAATAGCTGAAAGTTTAGCCCAGCTCCTCCTCCGGCATACAGGTATCGATCGTCTCCAAGTGAAACGGTCATAGGCAAGCCGTCGAACCATCCGCACAGGGGATGGAAGGACGTAGAACACCCTGGGTGGCAACACTGGATTGTACGTCCGCAAGCGACTCTGCAGTGCACGCAAAGGCTGCCCAACTCAATGGCAGGAATGTCACAGTGTTCGTCAGTTTTTGGAGTTGTATGTTGGCCACCTGACGCTAGCTTCATACGCACACCTATTTCTTCCACTGAGTTCATAAATCGTGCTTGATTGGTAGTACCTACCAAGCTAATGTCCGAAAAATCCAACAAGTTGCCAATCCACACTTTCGGACACCACAACGCACACACCACGTGTACCCACTTTCCGTCGATTGTGCGCTTAAATGCACCGTCACCCAAGGAACAGAGCTGGCAGAAAACATCCCTTGCCGGGTCCAGCCCTTCTCGCGTAGCTAAGCAACGATCACAAATAAATTCATTGCTAGGAACCTTGGCCATTCCGTAACAGCGTTGATGTACTGCCAGCTCGCAACGATCACAGAAAATAATCGGATTCGCTTCTGGTGACTGACCGTCGAAGCACACGACGCAGGTACCATCATCAATTGCACTGTCCTCGTCTTCCGTACAACCCTCTTGTTCTTCACTTTCACTTATCTTCTTTTTGTCTACTTCAAGCTGATCTTCAATTTTATAACCGATTAATAAGCTCATGCATAGCAGCTTCCAAGCTGCAAATTCACGATAGTGTGAGTCAGTAACCTGTGCCAATAGACGGAAGTTCCTATCGTCACTCTCGTTCCTTTGCAACTTTCTGTATAGCATATGAATACGATAGCGATTCTGTTCCGTCGTATCTTTGAGGTGTTCCATAAGAAGGTTAATCGCTGGTGTTAAACCATCGATGAGTGCCGTGTCAGGAGGATGTTGTACAATAGATGTCACTTGCGAGATGGTCTCTAGCGGTTTCTCCATTGAGACCTCCTGAACAGGGTCGCAAGCGGTAAGTGATATCATCAGCTTATTCCCATTTGTCAACGGCAGTTTATTCGCCTGCATGTCGAATCCGATCAACGTGGACAAAGCATCATGCTGAAAACTGCTCGCAAACGTCCCAGTATCCGCAACATGCTGGCTCATGGTACCTACCCGCACAACGCGCATCGAATATCTGCAACCAACTGCTATGTTCTCTTCATTCTTAATGAGCACAGAAATGTCGGCTTCGAAACCGTCTAGAGCGTGCATTAAGACCGAATCAACATCCTGGCTGGTATTCAGCTTCGTGCACTCGAGGTTATGGCAGATTTCAATCCTTGGCTTAGCAGCAGGATCGCTCACGCAACGGCAATGACTTGCTCGCATGAAAAAATCGCACTTGTGCGCACACGTTTTGAGCACCAGAGGCTGTTGTGGGTCTTCCATATTTCGTTCAAATCGCATCGTATCTCGACAATGAATATCAGACGCTTGCAGAGGCCGTCGACGCGAGACCTTCACCATATCCTCCAGTTTCACACCGCACAAACTCTTCGACAGTTGCTCCATCCGCTTCTTCTCAAGCACATCACTGCTGAAAAAATGGTTTTCGACAACTTTCCAAAAGTACGTCGAATCCATCGGAGCTCCACTCATCTTTCCTGGCCACGACGCGAACAACACATCCGTCAAATCTGCAGTCTTGTCATCACCTTGAACGCCATTAGTAAACTTCCTCGGCGACATCATGTTCTTGCGCTTCATTGCGTGGCGACTGTTCGAACAACTATTCCTCAAATGTCCCATCATCAGCGTCTGTCGCACTACTTCACCACATTCCGGACACGCCCGCATCGGTGTCGCTTGTCGTTGGTATTTGCCATTGACTGACTTGTTCTTACTGCGCATCTTGCCACCTCTGCTCTTGGCAAGCGATTTGTCATTTTTTTTGTACGAAATCTCGACCGGTTTCAGTCCAACTCGATGAACCTCTTGTTTTCTCTTTTGTGCTTCTTGTCTTGCCACCCACGCGAGCAAACACTGTGTCTCATGTCCGTCTTTATTCACGGCACTCACTTTATTACTGCAAAATCGGCACTTTAATTCACTTGTGACTGGATGAGTCGCCACAAAGTCTTGCACTTCACCTCGATTCCACCACGATTGATCCACCATTTCAAACTTTAATGACGTCGATACATCAGATAGATGCGTTTTGCAATGATAAACCTGTTGATTATGAATATTATAACCAGTAAAGATCAAAGTAGAAGGAGATCGAAAGGCACAAAGGACATGAAAAGCTTTGGCACAACGACCACTGACACATTGAATACATCCCCCACGCAGGCCACAGATTAAACAGCGCAATGCACTACGACTTTTATCCAATCGAGAAATATCCACAATTTCATCCATTGTTCCAATGAGACTGTGATTAAGCTCTGGAATCCAATTCATACATAGGACATGACACCAAACATTCGGTTGATTTGTAAGTCGTAAGGCACCACCTGCAAGAGGACAGACAGCACATTGTGGTGATAGACGACGAGGTGTTGATCGGTCCGTCATTACGTATTGACACGCTTGACAGAGCCACGACGACGTGTCATCGCTTGAAAGACTCAGACCGTAACATTTAATATGGACACGAATGGCACATTGTTTGCATTGAACGAGAAGTGTCTCGTGATGATCGTCTTGTTCCATACAAATACAACAAGGATTATTGGATACAATTAAAGACGTAGAGGATGAAGGTAATTGGTGGTGGTGGTGTTGTTGTTGTTGGAATGGTGAGAGAGAGGAAGCCATGACAAGAGGGACGTGAGACGCACGCGTCACTTAGGTGACCGTTTGTACTACGGGTGAATGGAGTGCCGAGTGATGGTACTTAAGGGTTGGTTACATGGGGATACGACTAAGTGCGGTTTCGATAGTATTTGGACCAATCAACATACATGTTGAAGTGAAGGGATTTAATATTGCAGTGGTTCATTTTTTTTAGTGTACGAATTTAGTCGACTATTTAATATATAGAATGGATGAGACTGTTAGTTATAGTTGGATATTAAAAGATATTCATCACTACAGTATTGCGCATAAGCAGAGACGTAACTATGCAGGTTTTAAGCTTACAAGCTTCGCAAGTGAAACATACTGTTTATGGCTTCAAAGCTTCAGCTTGTCATTGACCAAGCTAACATAATTTGCCTACACGTTTCCAAGACAGACCCATTCCAAAAACCTGTCTCTTAGAAACCACTACATGATAACAAGAGCTGCCTATCGACAAAAATCTGATGTTGAGATACCATTCTAAAACTCACAAAACTTGCGGGAAACGAACGCTACGCGAACGGCACACTTCCATTCGTTCTGCATTCAATACGATGTCAATGGCTATGGTAGCACTAGCTAACAATTGGAAGCATATGTAGCTGTCTTTGTTTTCCATGTTCCCTTGAGCTTTACACATAATCGAAGGAAGCTGATTTCTTTGTACATAGCGTTTCGACATCGCGTCGAGCTATAGCCAGCCTTCTCACATTCTTAGCCTCACAAAAAGGTCAGTCTCCTTATTCTCGTATGGCCCTCGTCTTGCAGTTGAGAGTTTCTATGTACCTGCCGCATGCGACGAGACATGTGTGAGACGGTCCATCATATGGCGAGAGACAGGGCTCGCAATCTGGCACGCATTTCACGGAGGAAGTGCGTGAGTGGGGCACCGCAGCCGACACCGGACCTTGTTATAAAGTGCGTTCTCGTAGCCAACGGACGGGGGCGGGACGGATCCATGCTTCAATGTGTGCTGAACGGCATTGCTGATGCAGTGTTGACACGTGCATGGATCAGTGCCACCCATCGACGTCACGTCATCCGCAGGCTTGGTTCGAGAATGATGCGGTTCCGTATAGACCGCTTTTCGCATAAAGAGATCCAGCGCGAGAGCGAAGCCATATCCGTCAAGAGCAGTTCTCAACCAGTCGGTGCGTGTTCTAGGGTGCTGGTGTCCAGTTTGGAGACCGCGGTCTGCTCTGAGATATTGCACAAGCGCACGCGGAGACAACTGCATAGTTGAAAATTGGACCTATAGATGAATCCCATTGTGCTGCCATGATCACTGGCTTATAGTTGCACGAAAAGATATGCATCTGCAAGAGATACCCAATGGTGAAACGCTACTAGGACAAGGGCTGCTGGTATGGACGCCACTAGCCCAATTGTGGTCAGGAAGTGTGCCGAGTACGTCGAGAAAGTGGGACTTTTCGACTAGCAAACGTTCGTTGTAGCACCACGTACTCTTTCATGACATGGCGAATATTGAGAGTGCAATGCAAACAAGATGTACACGATATGAGGTCGTGAATCTCAAGTATTTATTCATTTTGTACTACCAGTTAACGTTTTCCGTATTGTTTCATCATGACGAATTCATCTACTGTACAGGTAAGAAACGTCGTGGCAGATATCAGATCCATCAAATCCAGATTTGCTTTTTAATTTCTGGTGCTGCAACTTTAGAGGAACTTACCTCTGTCAAAGCTGCAACTTGGCGATGCAGAAGCGGTGCTGATTCGAGAGAGCCGGTGTGGCGACGTTTTTGTTATCTTAAACGGTTTCTGCCTAGATATATATGTTTCTGCACGTAATTAGTGTAGTCTCTTTTGTACAGACAGTTGTTTTCTTTTGAATTTCTACTGCTAACAAATATTAAATCTAAGAGGAACTAGCCCATCCTCTTCTCAGTGGTTGGCCGTGCTTTATCCCATGAGTACAGTCTACAATGAACATAGCCGGTGCAAGAGAATCCGGATCTCTCATGTGTGTATGTGTCCTGTGTGTGCTCTGCCTCCCAGTGCCTTTATCTCCTCACGCCACAAGGAGCGATTAGTATTAAAAGGCAGCCTCTTTCATTACCACAGACTCCCATTCAGTCTCTCACCATTGACTCCATCACGACTTTTTGCACGACAAAGACGTTTCCAAACGACATGTCGGTTGGGGATGAGAGCAATGGCAGTAGCGCAGCATCAGACGTTGCGTGTATAACGGATGAGAATGAGCCTGTACAGACGCCACATAAACGTCAAGTACGTCGAGGCGAAGTGAATTGTCGTTGGTTGTACAACCAAGTACAGGCTTCACGTGGTCTGATTCTTATTGATACAAGAAGTCGAGATGAGTATGAAAAAGATTCAATTCCATCTGCAATATCGATCCCACCAATGGAAAATTGTCGGACACTTGTGGATGTTGAGAGTAAAGTCCTAGAAGAAGAACGTTATTTGTTCTCAAGTAAGAAACGAAAACTTCGAGAGGTTGTGCTCTTTGGAGATGCCGTGAAAAAATCATTAACAGACGATGGAAATGACTCGAAAAGCGGTACTTGGCTTCGAAAACTGGAACGATTTATCATTGAGGATGGACTTGTGACTAGTGTAAAGCTCTTGTATGACGGCTTCCTTACGTTCAAGTACAGGTATCCGTTCTACACGACGTCGGCGTTATGGGATGAGGTCTCGGGACAACGTACTCGAACTATGAGTGGCACGCACAATCTCAATTATCCGAACGAGATTCTGGAAGGGTTTTTGTTTCTAGGCAATATGTGGCACGCTCAGTCCAAGCAAGTTGTGTCCCATTTAGGCATTACCCACGTTGTGAATGCTAGTCTCGATGTCGGGAATATATTTGAGAAAGAGGGAGTGAAATACCTGAATATTACCATTAAGGACCGACCAGAAGCAGACATTGGCTCGTACTTTGACAGTACGTACAGATTCATTGAGTCAGCTAAACGTGCGCAACATGGTCGCGTCCTGGTGCATTGTACGCAGGGAATTTCGCGCTCGGCTACACTCATTATCATGTATTTAATGCGCGCCAATAATTGGTCGCTGGTTACGGCTGTAAATTTTGCAATGGCTAGTCGGGGTGTCGTGTATCCGAACCAAGGTTTTGTCAAATCACTTATGGTGGAAGAATTTCGTCTGTACAAGGGAAACAGTATCACCTCAGACGAAGTCGACACGATGCTGCAGAACCTGATACCTGATCGACCTGTTCCTTTGCAAGTGCACTTGAATAAAACAGAAAGCTGTTCGCGTTGCCACAAGATGTTTTCACTGCTTGAGTGGAAGCACAAGTGCAATTACTGCCGCAAGGCGTTTTGCAGCAAGTGCACCAGCACACGACTCGCAAACCCGGAACGCGAAAAGAGTGCTGCTAGTAATGGTGCAGTGGACGAGCAGCGTCCCCGGCGCGTGTGCCAGGTTTGTGTAAGCAGGTTGTGGCAGATAAATTTGCCGCGATCGCGAAAGGGTTTGCAATCGTCCGTGCACCAACGTTGCAAACACTTGAACGTGAACAGTCTATCGACGTTCGGACGCACGGTGTGCATCTCGTATTTCGAAGGGGCAGAGCCGCACGTGATCATGGACGTTCTCAAAATCCGATTTGGCGTCAAGGAAAATCAAATTATTGACATTTCACGGGACGATGGCGAGCCGATTCGCACCGTAGAGGAAATTGTGGGGTTGCCAGACGAGGCTGAGGTGTTTGTCTCTGTGGGAAAAGCTGGTAACATACAGGAGCACAGCCAGCGCGGATCGAAACAGCAGCTGCACGGTTCCTCGACTACCTCGAAATTCAGCAACAGCAATTACTGTCAGTCGTTCTCACGCCATTACCAGGAGCGCACGCGTCAACAATTTCGTCGCGAACTGCATTCACCCCGAGACCAATATGACCGTGACCGCAGGTCATCAGAGGGCATTGTTGATACGCTGCAGCAAACTGAAACTTATGGCCGTCACCCAGATGCAGCCCGCGCTCGGTCTTTCCAAATGGACACCGGCAATATCGAAGCGAGCTCGGAAGCACCTTCTGGTGTTGAAGACCCTGAAGTTGCAGAGCGCAAATTTGGTGAGCTGTGGAAGCTGTCGTTTCCGTCAATGGGTGTCATTGAGCGCACAGAACTACTCAAAATTAAGTGGCCGGAGATCCTTATGGACGTGATGCTCGGTATGAGCAGTCTCTCTTGTGGTGCGCTCACACTCCAGGAGTTCAGCCAGCGGCTCATTGAGCTGGGATATGCCGACTCAGATCGCCAGGCCGTGATTTCTCTTTTGGACACGGCTCGCCGCGCCACAGGAAGGGTTGCCGGCTGATTCATGTCTCGGAGCCGCGAAACCTATACACTAGAAATACGACACGTATCGAAGACCTTGGGTAGGATAAGTAAATTATTTTTTTGAAGCTGCTTCGTTCGCTTCCACGCTGGTTGATTGCCAGTTTAATGTAGTCTGTTCCTCGAGTTGACCGATGTGACGTGGTAATTGAATACAAGCACGCACGTTGCTTTTATACTTTGGCACGCAGCGCACATTAGCTACTTCCTTGCACTGCTGGACTGTGGGTATATGAACTCCATGCTCTCCACTTTTATCCGGCAGCGATGAACAGTGAGGGCAAACTGCAGCTTGGGCAGCAGATTGGTGGGGCTTAAGTACCTAGGCGTCAAAACTGGTGCTGGCGGACTTCTAGTAGACCCGTTTAAAATTGTTGAGATGGCAAGTGCGGCCCCAACAGTGAGGCAGCACTTGTGTGACCAGTGAAAACCGTCGACACCATACAACAAGTGAACGAAAAGGCACATGAGCAGAAATCCGATGCTAGAGCCTTCATCTACCCACTCCACCCACTTTGGTAATCCTTCCTGAGCGCTTAAAGGCTTCGGATGCTTCAACTTGGGTGTTTGCGACAACACCTTGCAAGTTACCGAGACCTCGATTTCAGTAGAAAACTCAGCGTCTGTAACTTCAATCCAGCAGACACGACCCGAGTCCCAGCTGCTCATAAGAGCTTGAGTACCAATGCGACCAAGACCTCCATCTTGAAGAAGGATGACACATGCTCCTCCCTGCGGGATCACGCCAAGATCAAGCTTTTCACCCCATTCTGTCCGTCTTTTAATCACCTTTTCGGTCGGTCGTCCATCCCGCTCGCTCTTGTGCACAACGGAGACCATGGCCACCCGTGGCGGTGACGCTTCCTGTTCGTTTGCAAATAGGAGGGCGCTTTTATACTCTAGTAAAAGAAATCCACAGCAAAAAAACACGACACATAAAGGCGTCGTGAGACGAAATACGTACAAATTGGGAGAAAACTTCATGGTTCCGTGCAAGTAGATTGGGACTCGGCACCGCTTCCGAAAAAGGGACGGCGCTCGAATTGCACTCACGCTGATTTATTTTCCCTGAACGCAGCACTTTTCGTTGTTCTTCAATGGCAATTGACCAACTTTCACATGTCGATGCTTCACGAATACGAGTTCGCATCAAATAGAGACGGTCTTCCTATGTAATACAAAAAAAACTTTTCATGTCAACTTTATCATACTATTTTATATTGCAATATTTACTTATTGCAATACCAACAATTTTACCAATAAAAACCTACCGTGCAAATTTCAAGGTAGTAATATTCTACACCTGGTTCTACCGTTCCATACGGTACTTCATCTTCTGGCATCGCACGTACCCTTGTCATCGAAGATAGCGTAATCTAGAGTAGGATTAGGTTAAATTAGTAGACACAAGAGCCATTTTGGGCCAATAAAAAAGACAGTTTCCTATTGTAAAATTTGTACTACGTACGTGGCCACGTTCTTCTCCTAGTAGCTCATACTCTGTGCCTTTACGGTAATAATGCAGTGTATCTGGCGTAAGAATAAAAAGACGCGAAGCCCAACCACCACGTACAACACCATCACGACGTTTTTCTAATTGACCACAGAATAAGATACGACCATAAACACCATATTCAATCCTTCCAGTGCCATTTAAAAGACTCATAGATGACGCCGAGTGACGAAGGACGTGAGACGAGCTTAGCGGTTTTTTCGTCTTGGGATTGGTAGAAACTAATATGTTTAAAAAAAATACAATACCGGTTTGATATACCGGTTGTTTTCTATCGTTTTGACGTAAAAACAAGGTATTTTGGCATTGGGAATCACATAAAACGATGCTATTCCTTGAGACGGAAAATAAGATTATTAAAGAGGTGTTAGAGGGACGTCTAGGGGAGACGTACGTAAAGACAATACATCATATGATGCTGTGTGTAAATGAATCTATGTCTTGTTGACAACATCCAGAGCTCCTCGCCCCGTGGAACCTCTCGAGATCCGTCTGTGCGATTTTGACGGTGAGTTTTAATAACTCGTGAAAAATAATAAAAACAAGAAAGAAATAGTATACTGTAATATTCATGGATCAAAAGAAGAAGGGGTGGGGGTACTGACGATTGCGTAGATGTACAGATTTGCATATCAATTGTGGAATCTCTCTTGACAATTTCAATGACTTATCCTCCCTACAAGACATTGGAAGGGTATGTGTGTGTGTCTCTCTCTGTATATTTATGAGATGAATGACTGATGAAGAATTTGCAATGTTGACTTGTTTTTATATGACGATTAGATTGGGCGCCAAGCAAATGTTTGCCGTGACGTATCCAGAGTTTGAACTCGTTGCTCCGAAAGCAGGCTTTGATTTTTCGTTGCAAGTTAATGTGGATCTGATTACTCCGTCCAATGCGGGTAAGGAGGACTCTTTTTGTGGTCGTGGAAGCGTTTTTGAAGCGGACAAGTGACTTGTTTTTTTTCGTGTCTGCTATTTGACGTAGCTTCCTTTATTGGACGTCTTTCAGTCTTGAAACGCAACATTTTGGGTGCTCCATTTGAGCAATGCTTTGAGGCACTGCAGAATGGCAACGCGAGCACACTTGGTCCGGTGCAGATCCCATACCGTCGTAACGAAATGATCTACGTACTTCCTCAGGCGGACCGTATTGTCATTGTGTACTCGGTCTGTTTCGATGACAAAACGGATCAAGCGATCGCGCGCGTGTTCTTGCAGGTAAAGGTTCATAGGAGGGCGATGCTATAGCAACATATCTCAGGTTGTTTTTGTCCAATTGTTGCAGGAATTCGTGGACACCCGACGCACGGTGAACAATGCACCACCCGTTGCATTTGGCAAGGACCCACCACTCGAGCTTCGTGGTGCCCCGGGTCTACGCAACTCGCCGGATCTGGTTGGCTACTTGAGCCTCGCCATCTTTCCTACCCACGTGGACACGACCGAGAAGCGCATCAAGGCGGCAACGCTCGTGCAGAGTCTGCGTAACTACCTGCACTATCACATTAAGGCCTCGAAGACGTACTTGCATATCCGCATGCGGAAGCGCGTGGATCTGCTACTGCAAGGTTTGTCCTCTAAGCTCTGTGGTTCGTGTAATTGGGCAACTTTAACATCGTGCCTTGTTTTAGTGTTGAACCGTGCCCGGCCCGAGAAAGACCAATCGAAGATCCAGAAGAAAACCATCACGGGCCGAACTTTTGCTCGTGCTTAAATGGCAGGCGACTGTGGTCACCTAACATGACGAACAAGAGTTTGACTGTTCTTCTTGATAGTTAAGCATGTATCTGACAAATTTGCACTGGAAATTGGATCTGTTTTGAGCCTGTTCTTCACCACAGCTGAAAGTCGCTGCTGCTGCTCCTCTTCAAACGGAGACAGAGCAATAAGATGTTGCGCTGGTGTTACGAGCGAAAATGCACCAAGAGAGCTAGCAATTTATAGAAAAGCAGCAAGACTTCATGCAATCAAAACTGAAAAGCTGTAAACATGAAATTGAAAAGTACAGACACATGACAACAGCGGAAATGCTCAACCTGCCGATAAAATACAAAAGAAAAGCTAGCTGCCTCTGGCTGGCTTGGGCAGACGAAACTTGACGCAATACAGCACGACAAGACGAACGACAAGAGTTTCTATAGCATTCCACCACCTCGTTCCAATTTTCCCATCACTTGAACTGGAGTTTCGGAAAAAAATGAGGCCCATTCGTTGATCAAAAGAAAGGGTGTCCATCATGACTTGGTAGTTTGTTTATCAGTAAAAACACGGTCCGTCTTTTCGTGTGCATATTGTTGTTGCTGTCATGTTTACACAGAGACCTCTCTACCGTTTCTGTGGCATATTGGCAACCCCATCGAGAAATTCAACAGTCTGATTCCCAATGGTCACGTGTAAAAACCCTGTCGGTTGCTTGATCTCATATATAGAAAGCTCTACAGGAGTGGGGACACCAGGCGACACAAGAAGCACATCGGATTGTTGCATGTTCCTTAGTGGAGGATGTGGTGGTGGATACATTTTGTTCATCATCGACGGCATATACATGGAAGTCCTCGACACAGTCCGAGTGGTGCTGGATTCCGTAGTCACATAAAGTGGCTCATGTTTAGTAAAAAGACCCAAAGTAGCACCCGGTGGTGCTAAAGAAGAAGGAGACAATACTTCCATCGGGTTTTCCATTCCATAACGACCGTATCGATATTGTTGCATTTGAATCTGCACTGCGGCATTAGCATTGGACGTATAATGCGTATGTGTCGAGAATGGAAAGCGTGATTGAGACGGAACACCGCTGTATATGGTGGCCATGATTTCAAGGAGTCGAATATTCAAGAGATAGTTGTTTCTTGCTGGAACTTCTTCCTTGGACTTCTTCTTCTTCTTCCTTAGACTGTGGGTTTATTATTGCTATAGCCAATCCAAATAAAAGGGAGAGAAAAGGTATAAGCAATGTGATTGGCTTACCAAGAGCTCTTTAGGAGTGATGGTCGTTTTGTGCATCAAATACTTTCCTCTCTATAGGAATAAAAACTACAAAATACTTTGACCCAAATCCTTTTGCAATCTTGCTGCTGTCCCAAAATAAATGTGTAGAAAACATGTATACTAAATGAAACTGAAAGATCTTGGATATAATCTGAGCCAAAATAAATTACCGGCCACTTTATGAAAACTATTTTTTTTCATTTTAATCCCCCTTGAAAAGAAACAGTCATGGCGTCTCGCGCCCGTCGTTCAAACAACATCCACGAGTCCAGACTTGATCCTTTACCTTCTTCCGACTCTAAAAGCTATTGTAAATTCAATACTCGTAAGCAAAATTGGTCACTCCAATCGCTTTCTATCGTCGTAATTGTACGATTATTAGTTGGCTTTTTGTGCATTGGAATCATCAGTCAGGGGGTCTTTTGGCGATCGAAAACAGTGGAAACTACTCAATACCATAATGAAAACAATACAATTCGTAATGGACGACTTCGTATTGGCTCTGACGAAGAGATAAAGACACTGAAGAAGGTCGTAATAAAAGATCCTTTGATGAAGAAATTACGGGCCAATGATTTGACGATCCATGAGAAAAAGGAAGAGGAGGAAGAAGAACAACAACGACGAGGACTTTATGATCCGTCATTTCATACTGAAGACCAGAAAAAGGTTGTTGAAATGATACAATGGGCTTGGAAGGGTTACACTACCTATGCATACGGTTACGATTCGCTTAATGTCCAGACGTACGAGGGTACGGGAATTCCAGATCGTAACATGGCACTAACGCTAGTTGATTCACTAGATACACTCTATTTAGTAGGAATGTTTCAAGAGTTTGACCGTGCAAGTGAATGGGTTGCTAACAATATGGAGCAACGGATCTTTCTTAGTGGATTTATCAGTCTTTTTGAAACGACGATTCGGGTCATGGGAGGATTGTTATCGGCATATTATATGTCGGGGCATGTTCATTTCCTTATGATTGCAAAGACACTAGGATTGGCACTTTCTCCGGCGTTTGACGTTTATGTGCATGGTATTCCGGCCAAAGACTTTGATACTGCGGTACATTTTTGTTTTGTGGTGGAACATTTCACATTGCAGTTGCACGAGCTAGTTATGCTGACAATGTTGATGCTTGACTCTTAATTGTACAGACGAAATTGGTACGTAATATTCCGTCACTAGCAGAAGTAGGCTCGCTGCAATTGGAATTCAAGTACCTTGCCCGGGCGACTGGATACACAATGCTCGAAGAGCAAGTAGACCGCATTTCTGACTTGGTACGATATTGATGTAAAGTAGCATAGCTTTGACTATAGACTTCGCTTGACTTTTATCCTTACGTTAAACTATTTTCGTACACGCAGCTTGCAAAACAAGTTGACGAGAAGTATACCAATGGCCTTTTGCCAGTTCAGCTGAGTATGCACGATGGAAAGGTCATTACATCGAAGATTACACTGGGGGCTAACGGCGATAGTTATTATGAGTATCTGCTGAAACAGGTACGACTTGCTGGTGAGGGCTCATGGGATACCTGTTCTTACAATCATCGTTTTGCTCATGTAGTGGCTGTTGTCGGGCAAAAAGGACGACAAGTTCAGGACTCGATATATAACAGCGGTCGATGGCATCATGGACAAGCTTTTGGGCAAGTCTACACCCAATGGGTTGATATTCGTTGGAGAGCTTGTGCATGGCAAACTTGAACCCAAGATGGATCATTTGGTGTGCTTTGTGCCGGGTATGCTGGCGCTAGGCTACATGAACGGAATGCCTGAGGAGCACCTTACGCTTGCGAAGCAGCTCATGGAGACCTGCTACCAAATGTACGCGCAGATGGAGGCTAAGCTTGCCCCTGAAATCGTGTACTTCAACATGAATGAGAGTGTTGAAGAAGATTTGCTCGTCAGCACAAACGACGCCTTCAACCTATTACGTCCTGAAACGGTGGAGAGTCTGATGATACTATATCGCGCCACAAAGGATGAGACATATCGCGAATATGGTCGTGAAATCATGAAGGCGTTCGAAAAGAACTGCCGGTTAGAACGCGGCGGGTATGCTAGCATTGGCAACGTGGCCAAGGGTCCTATTAAAATTGGTTTCACTAAAGAGATGGAGAGCTTTTTCATCGCTGAGACGCTCAAGTATCTCTTCCTTCTGTTTTCGAACGATTCGGTGTTGGCTTTGGATGACATTGTTTTCAATACGGAAGCTCACCCGTTACCGATCAACAAAGCCGACATATAGACAAGGGAGAGTTTTTCATTTCAATACATCTAAACCTGTTCGTGTTAATAATTTGATCAACGACGTCAACGGGTTGCTATCGCTCATACACGTTGTACATCAAGTGATCGACACGAAACAGGACATGCTGTCCGAGCCCTTTCGTGTAAAGAACAACTTTGAGTTGGTCGAGACCATTGGCTTGTGTATGCTCGCCACAAGGGCCCAAGCCATTTGTACTAAAGTCGATCCAGAAGCAGGGTAGTAAAAAATATAACCCCCAAGGTTGAAACCAAGTGTGTTGCGATCGCTCAGATGGCTGCAACTTAATATCCGGCCGGGGGTTCTCGATCGGATTCTTCAAAAGTCTGAGCCACCTTGTCACACTTCCTGATGGAGTATATTCCTCGACGATGACGACCGTTTTAAACGACTACCCGCAAATTTGATACGTTCTTACTTTTCCTCGGAGCATGTGCCAGCAGATATATGCTTTGGTTGTAAAGAGTGTCAACTTTAAGCCTGGTGCTCACGGTGATCATGGGTCCAATGCAGACCAGAACGCCCGGTGAATGCATATACGCGGTACATTTATCGATGATTGTTCTTTTCGCCATGTGAGTGTGTACTTCATGGAGGCGAAGTCAAAAGTGCTGTAGCTCAAGATCGACAAACAGCACCTTTTGTTGCGCAACTAGCAAAACGATTGATCGCTTGTGCTCGACAACGGCCAGACTCGACAGTCCTAGGAATACCTCACCTTCAGCGGACGAGGGTACGGTGCCGTATACACCACATCAAAACTGACTTGCCGAACGGATGAATAGAAGCCTCGTAAAGATGGCTTGTTTGCATGCTGTACTACGAATATCGAGAAGAAGTGGCGGGCTCAAGCTGCTACCACCACTGCAGAGATCATCAACGTGATCCTACATTCTGTGACGATCAAGCCGTTAAACAAGATTATTTACAATACCAAGCCGCAGTGTAAGAACGTAAAATTGTTTAGCTTACTCGACTACGCACACATCTAGATGCCGTAAGCTCAATGATAATGTATTCAAGTGGCACTTATAAAAGGCTATTGCGTCCTCAACGTGTCATCCGAAAGGGCTTCGTCAAGTTCATGGAGACAACCAAGCAAGAGCACCTGGTGGGACAATCCAACGTCGATAAATTGACTGCTAGGTGTCTTCGGGGGTGAGAAAAGATCAATGGATTCAATGCAGATTATTCCGACCATTGTTGAAAATTGGCCGATTGTAAAACCAAAGAATAGCTAGAGAGGCGACATAAATACTACTCTTGACGGTCTTACACGTTCACCAAGTCTCTCCCGCTGCCATTAACGGGACCTGCGAGTGCCTTTGTGTCTGGGGCACCTGCAGCATCAGCAGCAGTGAGTGCCGATCGTTCTCCGGACTGTTCTCCGGACTGTTCTCCATGAACTCTCTTCGCGACGTTGAGTTGGCGCTAGCATCCGATGCTTTTTTCCAAATCACACCAGAAGCATCCGGTATGTGGCTATTCGAAACTGCCCGCCTTAGCAACGTAGGCATCCCCCTAACAAAACGTGAGGCGGAGTTGACTGCCGACTTTTGGGCCTTCGGCTCATCGTTGCTTTCAGCCGCCTCGTCGCTATTGTTGCTAGAATTACTGCTATTACTATTGCTGCGGTTGATTTGAGCCGCAGGTGAGTCGAACGAGCAGTTGGATGCTGGTTTCGACGGCGTTTTTTCCTTTGAGCCAGTCCTAATACTCATAAGCGACGACATACCAAACATCCGAGGTACAGCCTTCGATTCTTCCGACGACTCGGTACTTGAACTCGACAATGACGGAATGGTAGTACATGTCGGACCCCCATCGTCTACATGAGCTTTGTTGTCGGTGTCCGTACTGTTTATAGTAGAGCGCTTCAACGCCGTCGGTAGCTTGGTGACAGTCGAAAGGTTCGACTTAATCTTGGAGGCAGTAGACGCAGCTGCAGCCGCAGACGTCGTTGCTGGGAGTCGCAGCGAAGGTGTCGAGAACATGCGTCTCTTGGTCATTAAGGCCGTTGCGTCCTCTATGGCCTGGTTCTGTCGGAAGGTCGGACTGGTGACTTTGGCACTGAGGTGAAGACTTTAATTGGCGTCGAAGTCGTCGTAACCGATTTCGTACTGATGTGACTTCGTCAATCGCATTGGTGCTGGTCTCTGTACTTGCCCTTCCTGCACTTCTTCCTCTTTTTCCCCAGGCCCTCGATGCTTGAAAAATAAAATTGAGAGGAAATCATCACTCGCATCTGTCTGTTATTTCAAACAACAACTGGCTGCAGCAGCTGAAGCTGATTTTGTGCTGTTAACTTCAAGCACAAGCTGGTATAGTGAAGTACATGAATTTTTGTTTGCTTGTACCTGCTGCTCCAGCAGACTGCTTAACATGCAGCCTCCCATCTACGTCGTGTCCAATATCCAACTTTAACACTAGTGCCTCTGCAGCATGTCACCACAGGGTCATGTTTGCAGGCATGCTTACGGTAGATTACAAGGCAATCAGACGTTGTTGTCAATGTGCCATGCAATTGAGATCAGGTCAACATCACCTATTCGGATATCGACGACGCCAAGAGGGATTCCAAAGCTCAGATGACACGCCATGTGTTGCGTGAGCCAACACCGTTGCAAAACAAATACGTCACCAACGTTACGTCGCCATCTGTCGGCTGCATTTTACATACGGGCTTCTCCATGCCAAGGCAATTTTTAGGCCTGGCAATCACTGCTACTTTGAGGCAACGACTTGTAAATATGATTACCACCATGCGCTTCAACATTTGAAGCGGTGTGTACTGTTGCTAACTGTAGAAAGCTGTCAATCATAAATTGTTGAGACACGTCGGGGTCCAGCGGCAGTGCCTATTCGGGTGATCGTTCAAGGTGGCTGTGTCGTATGCACAAGTTATCAGTGGGACTGCAACTCGCTGAACGGAAGGATCTTCCAACCAACAACCTGAACCGCGCATCTGCTACATGGCATCGACCTCACTCAATTGCTTGCAGGGGTCGCACTGCTGCATGCTCTGAAGCAGCCCGTCAACGGGCTTCGATGATGTTGAATGGTGTTCACAACATTTTTAATATGCTGCGTTATTGTGTGACAGATCCGCGAGCGGAACCACGACATATCTGAGGAACATGATGCGCAGTGAATCCATTGCTGTCAAGACGTTAAGATACGAGGTAGACGTATTGGGTTGCTTGGGCAGTTCTTAGGCAACAAATTGCCCGTGCTGGGGCAACAAGAATTCTTCCTTTAATGCACTACTGTTGAACGTTGTGTTGCCATCCGCGTCGGTCTGCCTGATCACGACGCCGGAATTTACTACAAGGTGAGATGTATTGGTCACGACACTGAGAAAGAAATTATTTATTCTTGTTAAGGAGTTCGCTGGAAAACTGCGGTCGGGTGTTAGAAGAAGACGATGATGTAGTATATTGGCCCCTTCGAACGTTTAATAAAGTGTTTTGATTTTATGTCTCGATTGTATTTCTACTCCCTTCCTAAGCGAAGCCTCCAAGACATATCTGCGATTTCAGCTGGACACACTCGAATCGCAAAGAGATCGTGTCGTTGCGCAGTGCCAAAAATTGAAGGTAATGTATAATACCATTGATCAGTTTGCCGTATCGGTCCCGCCGTCATTGAGGCCTCCATTGTCGTCAAGAACTTGTCATACATAAAACTTAGATTCTGGAGACATTTACGTGACACTTCATATATCTTTAAAGGCATTATAATACTTCAATCTTGGTGCTTAAAAGTAGTAAAAGCTCCTTGTTATCTGGCTGCGTATCTACGACGGAGGTTACCGCGTTTGCAGGGAATAGGAGTACCAAAAAGCGTAATTTACACGATAGAAAAGAAGGGCGCGATGAGCACTGTCGGAAACGATGTGTGCAATTTACGTGGAAGCTGTGGTTTAGTGTGATTAATGTTGCGTGTATGCGAACTTCGATATCGTATAAGATGATAGTGCTGTCGGTATGCAAACTACGCGTATTATATTGTTTTTTTAGTGCTGGTTACAGCTAGTTTGAGCATACCTACATGTACAACAAATTCATTGATATGCAGTGGACCCCCTCCCCTCTAGCTACAAGTGATACGGCACGAACTTGTTGTTACTTCCAATAAATGGCTAGCTACCGCAGTGTCGTGAAGTTGGAATAACACGATCTTCATATTGCTGTGTTTTTTGTTGCGCTGCGCAAGTGGAACTGAAGGAGATCCATTATATCAGTAACTCGGTGACGCAGGTTCAGAACAGCAAGTTGTTTCTTGTCCTTTCTTGTGTCGAATATCAAAGGCATCGCAAGCTTCATCCATATAGACAAGACTATCCTCTGTTTTGTACAAACTTGACACGTCGTACTGTAGATGCAGTATTCATAGCAATAGCTTCAATACCGACAAGTCAACATCTGTGCAGCACAAATGCCAACACATTAAATTTTTATTTTTTTGTTACTTTGTCGCGCGCAATGGGCGACAAATAAACTTCATAATGCATCAACGAAAATACAGCTCATACGACTGCAGGAATTTAATCCTCATATCTATGTTCAGATAAATTGGATTTGTCCTCAACATCTTATTGGTCCTTTGAGTTCTCCTCGCCCTTCTTTTCGCCGTTATCATCGCCTTCTTTGTTGACTTCTTCTTTACCACCGCCTTCTTCTTTGCCACTGCCTTCTTTGTTGTTGTATTCTTTTTTGTCATTGCCTTGGCCACTGTCATCGTCTCGTCCATCGCCTTCGCCTCGGCCATTGTCATCGTCTCGGCCATTGTCATCGTCTCGGCCACCGCCATCGCTTCGGCCATTGTCTCGGCCATAGCCATCGTCTCGGCCAGTGCCCATACCGCTATAGTATTCGTTTCCATTGTAGCCATTGAAGCCACCGCCACCTCCACCGACACCGCCACCTCCACTGAAGCCACCGCCACCGCCTCTATTAAAGAAACCGTTTCCGCCTCTGCCGCCTCCACCAAAGAAACTGTTCCCACCTTCGCCGCCTCCAATGTAGCCACCACCTTGATAGCTGTTGTAGCCTACGATATTACCAAATCGATCGTAAAGGGCACCGTTGAGGCCAAGTCTGACGCCTTTGGCATTTCGGAAGTCAAAGTTGAGTTCAGTTTGGGGCGGGGCATTCTCTGAAATCGGGGCATTCCCTGGGACCGGAGTGTTCCCTGAAACCATGGCATTCTCTGGAACCGGAGTGTTCCCTGAAACCGGGGCATTCCCTGGGACCGGAGTGTTCCCTGAAACCGGGGCATTCCCTGGAACCGGAGTGTTCCCTGAAACCGGGGCATTCCCTGGGACCGGAGTGTTTCCTTGATTTCCTGGGACCGGGGTTGGAGCGGTCGAAGGGTTGTTCGCTTCCTCTGATTTGTTTACACAACCAACGTCAACCCAAATAGCACCAATTCGATCTATAGCATTACCTGCTTTTCCAAGCAAGCCAACAAGATGACCACCAGCCGGGGATATAAAGACAGCTCGTTGGTTTTCGGGAGCAGTTTTAGGAATTGGATTCCCTAACTGAAATTCCCGCGCTTCTCCACTTGTTGCTGTGTAATCAAATTTGATAAAAGCGACTTTCGTGTGTCCTTTGTCCTTAATCTGGTGGACTTCCATTTTGGTAATTAGTTCACCGGGACCAAGTGGCCGTGAGCTGGGAGCCCCTCCATTTCCGCCGTGAAGAGTACAAGATTCATCGGCCTGACAAAGACCAACTGCATCGACTCGTTCCCCCGAACGCCCTTCAATTGAAGTGATCTTTGTATGACGAGTCAATTTTGAAAGGTCATTGAACTCGGTACCATGGTCACCACCAAGAGTTGTTCCCTTAATTAGGCAGGGATCTTGGTCGGCAACACTGCCTCCAACTAGTGCCATTGCTACAAGGCCTTGGTAGAATATTCGCACCATCGCACCGTTGACCTGACTGTTTCACCGACTTGCAACTTGTGTTGTAGAGCACGAATTTGAGAATGAGCATCTAGAGTGAAGACCAGGTCCCGCCAGGACTCGGTGTGCAGACTATCTACCTTGGATACCCAGTTCGCTATTACACCTCACCATCCCAAAATTATCCCATGCGGGGGTCACGTAATCTACGTTACTGGGAACTTAGGGTCTCCATATTATAGGAAATACCGTCAGAATCAAGACATACTAGAGACCCTCCTACACATTGGGATGCAGAACATCTTACCTTTGCCACCACTACTTATTCATACGGACAGTGATCGGTACTGTTAAGCTGCATCCGCACCTCATTTGTAAAGGGTTCATGCAAGTAAAATGTATAAAGATAAAGTTGGGATCGGATTTCATCTCGTTGTTTTCGGGATAGGTCAGCACATGGCGATCTGACGAAATGCAGGTCAGCACATGGCGATCTGACGAGATGCAGGTCGTTCCAGACTTTTCCACACATAGCTCAGTACATTTCGATCGACAAGGTGTACATGTTATTCCGGACTTTCTATACATAGCTTCGTACATGTCAATTTGACGAGAAGGCACGAACCATCCGTGTACCATGAATTTAGTTTGGTATGCTCAAACTAGCTGCATGTCGCACTCGCAAAATGTACAAGACGCTAGTTCTATCTGTACGTAAATGAATACAAACAACACTAGCATCTTGAACAGTATGATGGCAATGCGGTATTGGTACTAGCAAGCTGCATGTACATGTTACTCTCAATCGCATCTTGAACAGTATGATGGCAATGCGGTATTGGTACTAGCAAGCTGCATGTACATGTTACTCTCAATCGCATCTTGACCAAGATAAAATTGAGATCGAACTTTTTCTTTGCCGTTCCAGACATTCAGCAAACAGTTCAGTACATGTCGATTTGACGAGAAAGCGCGACCATCAATAGCAAAGATGCACTGCGTGTCAATAAAAATTTAGTGTTGTATGCTCGAACTTGCTGTAAACAGCACCTATACAATGGATTGTACGTAGTATGCATACAGACAAACAGCTTGTGACTTTGTACGGCCAGCAAATCGTCAATAAGAAAAAATTCAGGCTGCAAGAAGACTGTCGGTGCGGCGGGATATCGTCTAAAGATAGGCAAGACCTCCGTACGGTGAGATATCTCTTCGGGTATTCAGGGAATCCTGCTGTTGCAGTGTGTATGCAATAGGTTTACCCAACTTTTGTACGGTTTCACTCGTCTCTTTTGATGGTACGTGTGATGATCATATGGCTCTAGGCAGAACGAATACCACACGAAGATGCTGTCCATCAACCCTATTACGGCACTGATCGTTTCTGGGGATACTACACACCTTCTTGAGTACGTTGTATACGGCCAATACGGGCGCGAACCGTAAATCGAGGACGTGGATAGATAGATACGACTTTGTCGCGGCTTTGGCTACTGCAGGACGGAAGGACGTTGCGTATGTCACGGCATACGACACCACACAGAACTTGATGCAGAATCGGATGTTGTGTATGACGTGCCTACTATGTCACCCGAGTCAGATGGCGTGCGCACGTACCCGTTCCCTTGCGTTCTCGGACGGCTGCTGGTTTCATGTTTACCCTCGTAGATACAGTAAAGGCCCACTTTCCAATTCGCGCCTTCAAGCTACAACGGCCAAGAGACGAAGACCTTCAAAGAGCCGGTCAACCGGCCAGGGCGGGAAGTCCCTCCAACGGGAGGCCCAGGATAAGAGGGGGAGGTTTTCCCTCTGCTGCGTGCGCTATGGGGGGCAAGCGCAGCGTGCGAACCGTAAGGGGAGCACCAACCCTGTTACCCCCGGGGGAGAGGATCGACGACCGCGGTTATCATTCCCTCTTTCCCCAATAGTTCCTGCTATTCTACGTCAGCCTTCAAGACGCCGATTCGATCGCCGAGCGCGAATCTCGGTCCCACGAAGTGAACTTGCCAAGAACGTGAATTGATCGGCCCCGTCCAGGTGCATCAGCGGTCGATCGGGACTGATCGGTGTGGTGCCCGGCGCTTGTTGCGATCATTGAGCCACTGTTTACACCTCGGGCTGGATACCCGATTCCACGTGCCCTTTTCGGAGTGTCCCCCTGACGCCCGTCGTCTCGAGCCAGCAGATTGAGCCAGCGAGGCGAAGAATGACGAAGTCCTGGTAGAAGCACTCCAGACATCTTACCAATCCTTAATGTTTGAAATAGACGGTCTGTTCTTCTCTCTCCTCTCTTCAGTAAAGGCCTTTCCAGCTGTCCCGGTGGACGAGCCATGCTTTTCCACAACTAACTGCGACAAGTTTATCCTGACAAAGGCCATGTGCGCTTCTATCGTGATACCCTTCGTTGTTGGTACGAGCATTTTCTGCAAGCGCGTAACCTCTAGGTAAAACCTTTGTCGCCTTCGAGGTTACTAGGAGCTATTTCTAATACAATTCCAACCGACTTACTATGATGCCTTTTGTTGCGAGATATATGAAGCGTCACGTAATGTCTCCAGAATCTAAGTTGCATGTATGACAAGTTCTTGACGACAATGGAGGCCTCAATGACGTCGGGACCGATCCGGCAAACTGACCAATGGTATCTCACATGAAATGGCTAGCTACCACAGTGTCGTGTAGTTGGAATAACACGATCTTCATATTGCTGTGTTTCTTGTCGCGCTGCGCAAGTGGAACTGAAGGGGATTTAATATCTCAGTAACTCGGTGATGCAGGTCCAAAACAGCAAGACGTTTCGTGTATGTTTCGGTGGTGGTGAAGATTACGTGTCTTGTGAGCTCATCGATGACGCCTACTCTTTGTTGAAGACGGAAGCTCAGTGGACGCTTAATGTCGTGTTGATGTGACCAATACTGTTTAGAGTGCGTATCAGTTGCAGCTGTTGGATGAAGGACGATAGAAAGACTTGTAGGTTTGCTTCTTCCAGCTCAAAACTAAATTGTAGGGAATTATAGGAGCTAAAAAAAGTTGTGAGACAATTAATGACATGTTTATCTTAAATGTATACTCTTAACAATTAAGCTGAGCGCGAAGCCTTTTTAAGGGAACCTACTGGAACGGAATATGCCATCCTGTCTTACTGCAAAAATCTGATCGCGTCCAAAGTTTCCAATTAAGTGGACTGGGGCAACAATCCGTCAGCACACCAAGGGTCCAGCACTAGGACGACTGTTGGTTGAATACGTATCATTATATTGTTAAGGTTTCCAACCTGGCGAGAAATCAAAGCTAAATTTTGGATAATGAAGAAATGGGAACGTAAAGTTGAGAGGGGGTCCGAAGCGAAAAATTTATCAAGGAGTAACAGCCGAAAGAAAAAGCACGCGTGACCGACATTGGTGCGCCCGTCAAATTACAATGGCTAGCGATGGGGAATATGAGGTGACGATGTCCGATAGTCTGTTTAAGTACGGGCGTCGTGATGATGCGCTAGGATGGTCTTGAACTGGGAAACGCCATGTGACAAAGCCAGCGAGAGAAAAACTAATCAAGCGACCATGTGACAAAATCAAGAACTAGTCAGGAATCGTCCGCGAAAAACGTGAATGGATCTTCAAAGAAGTCCAGGCGCCATTCAAGACGAAAAGCGAGAAACTGAGACTCTTTGCGAGCAAACGCAGTCGTGCAGGGTGGGTCAGTGTCTTGAATAATCACTGAAAATGGAGACGAAACAATGACACACAGAGACGGTTAAGTCCCATGAAGGGAAGAGTGGGGGATTGTAAATGGCATCGTTGCGGTTGACCCAAAAGGTCCGAAGAACACAGCATCGAACGATTTGAAAGATAAAAGAGGTAGCAACGCCCCATAAGTATGGCTTTGGGATGACGGAACGGAGAGCTCGTGAAGAAACAGAATATGAATCCATAAAATCGAAGTCCGAAATATCCGGCGAAAAGGTGGCAGAAATAACTGCCAAAGACGACTAGCCAGCAAATAACCGCTGAAGAGATGGTAAGCCGTTTCAGGGGAATTACACCCATTAACACAGTGAATATCCGGAGTGAGCCAGCCAAATTTATAGCGAAAGCCCAAACCATTATGTTGGAGACGAAAAAGAAGATCAGTAAATGTCATGCTGGAAGGCGGGGTTCCGTACGCCAAAAAGAGTCCGGTAATGTCACTCCATCAGTGTCAAGGCGCGACAGTGGTAAAGCTGGGGGAGCCGAAGAGTCAAGTAAGCTACGAATAAACGAGTTGGGAACATTACAGACATTAACCCCGTTAGGAGTCCTGACATGAAGTGCAGCAACCTTAGTGTCAGGGAGAAGAGGGTCTATAGCAAAGAGGGTATATAGCGGAATTATCATAGTGGGCCGGAAGCGCCAATCGGGGAGCCAAAGAGCGAACAATCGAAGTCATGGAACTACCAGTCCTGATTGAGGACCCAGTAAGCGCCTCATGAAGTGTATGTTCATCTGGAGAGATCCGAAACAGCAGCTAAAAGGTCGAAATTCGGACAACCTCTTGATGACTAAAAAAATTACACGCCTTACCATGAAGCATGGCAAGAGGTCGCTTTCCACCGGTGAACCGTAAAAATGTATTGATCCATATGGGCCATGCCAGCTTCGTAAGTACTGGTTAATATTCAGCAGGCGGGGAAGAACCTTATTGCCCCAAGTAGCCAAAGCAGCCCGCCAATAATGAGGGACATGATCCCAACGGGAAAGAGTGTGCTCAAAGCGATAATTTGACGTAGAGTAAGTCAAGACAAGATCCTTGACCTCGAATGGCCACGTTAAAAAATACTAAAGACTTAGGAGACAATGAAAAATTTGAGCGACAATGACGAATTAATTGCCGTATCAAGTTGACGGTGCATAACTCTACGGAGGCGACTACAGAATGCAAATTCACCCCTCCAGAATCGGAAGCCACCGCATGTCAAATGCTGGGAAAGGTGTCACGGACCGGCGAACCTT